ATTTAATGTTATTTATTGTTTTTTAAATCATCCTACAGGCTCTGACATGTTAGATAAATTTGAAAATGAGGTTTTGAAATCAAATCAAAGTTTACCATAGTACCTTTCACTGTCAAACTTGTTTTTAAGGGTTCAAATTGGGGTGGGTGGGACATAGTTCGGGGGGAAGGGGGGGTTGCACTTCAACTTGCCCAGGGCACCAAAATGGCTAGAGCCAGCACTGAATGTGATTTACAGCACTGATTATTCTCCATAGATTGATTTATTTGTATTAGATTTGTAGAGAGATCTAGTAGAGTTTTGAATGAATGTGTAAATGAGGACACAGATTGTAGTGTGAAGCACTTTGAGTATCCTGGTTGGATAGTACAGTAATAAGTACAGTCCATTAACAAAAACTGAAACTGTGTATGTTTTTTACATCTTGTACTGTGCATCATGAACTTATTAAGTTTAGGTATGAAACTGAGGCTCCTGCAAAGACATCTGCAAGCTGTTAACAAGACAAGGTCCTGTAATTGAAWGTTTGAACATTCAGTTAGCCTTAATGAGTATAAAGTGCCCCTATAGTAAAACAAGCTGTGCTCATCTTTGCTGAGTGGAATGACTGTACTGTCTGTAAACWTTTCAACTCTTGCAAGTAAAAGAGCTCAAACGTCATCTGTCTGTCATTCTTCCAAACTGGCGTCCCTTGATAAACAATTAACCCGACAGAAATATTATTTATCGACTAAAATTTTAAATCAAACTCAACCATTCTCTGCTTCAAACTCAACTTACTTATTTGGACTTCTCACCCTAAAGGTGGCATTTAGAGCTCGGAGCCTGGAATCAGCCTGAAAAGGAAGAAATAAAAAAAATGTTTAAGAATCACAAGGATTGAATATRTTTTGCTGATTATAGAAAATACATCTCTACAAGTATCCAGTACCTTTGCCTGGAATTCTGTCTCATACACCATTTCCTTCCAGCCATGCTCCTGCCACACAGAGAAACACATTTCTACCTCAACAGGCATCCATAAACCAATGATCTTCAGGTAAAATACAGTGAGAACAACCTGAAACCTTTTTCCTCTAGCAGTGGTCCAGAATACGTCCAATCTAGTTTTCTATATTCTCTATATTGTAAGTGCTTCTCTGCAGAAAGAAGCACAAGAAAACTGTAGGGCAGACAGRGGAAATACTAGCCTGGTAAAAACCAGCCCCTTGCTCTACGTTTTGCTTCGTAWAAGTCAAGACCCTCGGTTATTGAGAAATAATTTCTTGCTGAAGAAGGCGTGGACTCTGATAAAAATTTAAACGACTGGATCTGGTCTTACCCAATTGCTAACATTTGACCATGACATATGCAGCGTGGCAGCTGGACTGTAAAGGACGCTAAGCTAAGAAGCTAACAGGAAATTGCGTGCGCTGAAAACAACCATCCTCTAGTGGGAAGAGAGAAGTACGGAGCTGAACGAGATGTCTATAAATGAGTGCTGTAGGCTTGAGAGAAAAATTGGATTAAATTTGGAAGCCTTGTCAACACAGACTGAATGGCTTCATCCACTTCCTCCACTGCCATTGCTAAACTACAGGCACACTAAAACAGTGCAGAAAATCAAYGTCAYCGTTCACAACTCCTTCTGTTCTCTGACTGTCCTCTTGAAATTCTACAGGAGAAATCCATGTCAAGGGGAGAAATCTCAGACAGAGCTGCAAAGGGAGATTAGAATCGAGCTAAACTGTGTAGGAAGRCAATGGCCAGGCTAGGGAAATACCATAAATCAGGGGTTACCAAGCTGTTTGAGACTGAGGGCTACAACGGGTACAGAGTAACAAGAAGGGTCGCTTGTTTGATACAAATATACATTTGCACAGATCACCTTTAATTACCTCTTAAGCCCCAAGGGGTTTTMTTMAAGTTTTTGCTCAAAAATCATGTCAAAATGTAATTGTGTGTATCTCAGCATTTACAAATTCTACTTAAATAATCTTGGTATCAAAATAAAGYTRAYACTTGGGAGATTTCWTCAGAAGTGTAAACAGTAAAACAGCTGCTGTGATTTTAGAGATTTTGGGGATGGAACATGTTTTTTTTCACTCACCTGAATATTTTTTTTTGCATTAAACAGTATATAACCTATTTAAAACCATAAAGAATCAGGCTAAAAACTCTTGGAAACCATTAATCCACTTGTGGACATTGACTGTGCAAAGATTCATGCTGCTAAAATTAACTGGAGCAAAGTTACAGAGGTTTTAGTTAAGWAAAATTTTGAATTTTGTCATTCTGCACAGGACAGACCATGTAGGTACCATTAATAAATGTTAAGAAATCTTAAGTTTTTACATCCAAAAGTTATTTCTTACCTGCCTTAAAAGACTTGTTATTGAATGTTGGTTGTTTTGAAAAATTATCCAAATATTTATTTGTCACCATACGTATATAATACTGTATATAAAATAATGAGAAATTACTACACAGAACCTTCAGTCTTCCAGGACTCTGGTAGAGGACTTTATCTGGGACCAGATCCAGACCACTATTCAACATTTGAGGACACCTACAATAAACTATCTTTGATCAAAACATAAGGTTATGAATACAACCATGGTTCCTTGAAGGAATGGAATGAAGTACAACAYACAGTTGTATATGGGACACGCACGCCCTCGCGCGCCTGGCTGAAGCCACCTCTGAAGCCACGGCACAAATGTCACTCACAGGTACCCCTTTAAAAAGGGCCCAAGATGTCGCTACACCCCTGGTGGTGTGAGCTTTAACTCCAAGAGGGATTGGAAGGTTTTTGCTGCTATATGTTAGCAAGATGGCCTCTACAATCCAGTGAGAGAGTCTTTGTCTAGAAAGAGCTTTACCTCTGTGTGGGTTAGCAACAGCCACAAACAGCTGATCACATGACCTTACATCCTGTGTGCGGCTGATGTAAGTGCGTAGCGCACGTACGGGGCACAGAAGATGCAGCCTCTTTTGGGGGGGATGAAACTGGAAAGCTCTATAGACATAGAGCTGTAACTAGAAGGTATCACCTTAGGAAGATACGCAGAGTTAGGGTGCAAAACCACTTTAGAGTCATTAGTAGAAAACTGGATACAGGAGGGGTTCACTGACAGAGCGTGGAGGTCCCCGACCCGTTTAGCTGTAGCTAAAGCCAGAAGCAAAGCAAAAAGAAAAAAAATTGTATAGGTCTTCTGGACGGGTTCTTC